TATCCAGAGAGATCCAGGTATCTTATTAAAACTTCTTATTAAAACTTAGAAAATATGATTGTAAGATTTATTTTTATCAAAAATTTATTTATGATTAAATATTTGATTAGATTCTGGTATTAAAGAAATCCAATATTGCTATAATAAATTTTACATATTAAATTAAAATAAGGTATTCTCAGTGACTCGATATCAATATTCGATTGTTATATTCGATAAAAAGTTAAATTAATCACGATATTGCGCGATATTACAAGGGTAGAATTTTCTCTTTTTCTTCGCAGCCCTTTCCTTTTGTTCAGAGAGATCCAGGTATCGATGGCGTAGAAAAATTTTAACGCGTTCACGACCGACCGTCACGGCGGAAAATCCTTTGAAACATCGACATCGTCGTAATTACGAGCGACTTATAACAGTGTGGTAACCCCTTCATTTGTGAACTATGATAAACTGTTGCTCATCTAGGAGGCCCTCACAGATTTGCCTCCATGATTTATGCTAATACAATGGACCTACCTCAAAGATATCTTCCACTAAACGCTCTATTAGGCTTAAGTTAATTACGAGACTACCATCTTATTAGGGCTGGCTCGACGCATATTACCGTACATATATTACATCCTTAACGATGCGCATACGATCTTGAATTAGAATTTAAGGAAACGACGATTCCTTAAATCGAGTGATACAAATTATTCTTAATTCTTCCCTTATTCCATTCATACATTTTGAATGTATATTTAATTTTTGTCATTTAATAATTATCTTTTTACATATTATGAATGATTATAATTTAAAGTGATTTTATGAAAAGTAAAACCTTTCAACATTTATCTTTAATAAGTGTCTTTAATAATTTTAAATAGCAAAAATAAAAACAATCGAAATTAAATTTCATCGAAGAAACACTAGAAATTACAAATAAATACTCGAGATAATTCCTTTACAATAATAATACATTACATAGTTAGAATATATTTCTGCGATCGGTTTATCAGCTAAATTACGTATTTCCTAGAGACATAAGGAGAAACCGAGGTTTCCTAAGAATCTGAATGGAAGACAAACTAGTTTCTGGCGGTGGAAGGATCGTAATTGATAATCGGCTCGAAAGTGACAGCCGCGACTCTGACACCTGTGCTTCCGAAATGAGAACTGACGCGGTATCAAAAAGATAGATCATAGTGTGTTGCGTCTATCGACCGCAATCAACTGTTTGCTCTATGGTTGGTTCAACTTGCCGTGTCTAGAAAATCAGACGGGGAGAGGCTCGCGTCGAGAGGCTCGCTTGTTAAGGAGTTGTGCGTGCCGAACCGATTCCTGGAATACAATTACCGCATTATCCGGTTCCGCTTTCGAATTCCTCATTTTGTCCTTTCCAGGGGCCTGGGCCCCCATGACGTGGTTCCGCCGCCGCCGCCGCCATTCGTGTTTAAGCATCATCGACTATTACGAAGCGGCCAGATTACCTCCTC